TGAAATTTTTAGGATTACCTAAAAAAAACTATTAAATTAACGTTTAGTTGCTCTTTAATCCAAAACTTTAAATTTGTTCATTTAACAAATTTAAAATGTAAAATTTGCATTCATAAAATTGCCGAGAATGGCGCTTCGAACACTCACGCCACGTCATTAGACAATGACGTTTTCTTACATCTCGCCTTAGTTACCTTACGATTAGGTGTATATAAGATGAGATATCTGTTTGTTTAAGGTGTGTTCCACAGTAGAACTTTCACTACACCATATTGCCTGACACTGTTAAGACCCTCAATACAGGGCGAAACAGTCTGTCGGTATTTGAAGTAGGTGGAACACATGATACAAAGATGTATCATGGGTGGAACACGCTCAAAACAAAAACTCTGGGCGAGGTGAAGGTTCAATTCTTTCTATTTATATATAATAATATATTATTTCCATAATTTTGTTTTGGATACCAACCTTTAAAGAATTTTACATTTTCAGAATGTTAATTTAACATTTTATTGGTGTTAAGTGAATATGCTAAAAAGGTTACCTGGACATTTCAAGAAATTTACCTTAACACCCTAAGAATGTTAAATTAACCAAATTAGCAGATTAGAACAAATATTCTTATTTTGTTCATTTGACTGTTATTTGTTGTTCAATTAAACAATACAATTTGACATTTTTAGAAGGTTAAGTAAACATGCAAAAACCATTGCTTGTATTTAAAGTGCATAAAGAGTTGAATTAATATTTTTTTTGTTGTTTCAACAGCTTATTTTTTTCAGTGTGGAGTTTGCCGCACGACCGTACCGAGTGAGGTAACACGCGAGTAGAAACTTCTCTTTTGACCAATTTTCTCACACAATATTTTATTCAACAACCACAAAGACTTTGAAGCCAATTTTGATATTTTATTTGATATCTGGGAGAAGTAAAATTTTGCCTACCGGTTAAAGTTAAGAAATGAAATAGGAGGTATATAATAGTATTTTGTGCGACTAGTGGGAGAAAGACCCTGGAGTTTGATCAACGGGAATATTCCCGTTAATATGACAGGTTGTCAAAATCTTGAAATAAACTGTTGCTTTAATAGGAGTAAAAGCGATACTTTTATAGCAATTGTCTAGGTTTGCCGGACGATCAAAGTTTCAACAACCGCCCTCGGTGGTGTAGTAGTCAGCACTGAGGACTACAAACCGAGAGGTCGTGGGTTCGATTCCCAACAGGGGTATGGCTGTTTATTTGTGTGTGTCATTGTGTACTCCAGTAGTTCGGCCTGGTGCCTGTTTGGAAGCACATTAAAATAATAATAATAATAATAAAGTAATTGTTTATGGAATGAATAAAGATTGTAAAACAAAATTCCTTTCGAGACAGCATATTATGTTTGCTTTTGCAAATAAAATCCATCCCCATAACAGACAAATTACAGGAATAAATTCCTTCACAAACTTATTACGGATGATTATGACCGACGCGTCGGTTTTAATTTGAAGGAGAAGTGAACTGTTTATTAGCAATATAAATTTCCTTTATTTCCACCTTCTTGGTAAATGACATTTTATAGGTTAATTTTGTTGTTTTTGTATCCAAGTAAACGATACATTATGGGAACAGACCTGTAATATTTTACGGGCTTGTATAAAAGACCTGTAAAGTTTTACAGGCTTGTAAAAAGCAATTTATGAAATGAAATGTCACATTTGACATATTAATTAAAATTTTAAATTTGAAAATCGTTATCTAAAGGTGAAAATAAAAGTTTGTACGTGTCACGCTTTGCAATTAATCTTTACTAGGCTCACTGGATTATGTGGTTCGCTCCTGCGTCGCTCACCCCACAAACTTCCAGCTCGCCCGTAAAGATTCATTTACAAAGCTTGACACGTAAATAACTATTACAATGTCTGATTTTTAAATGAATGCTTCTTTTTTACGTGTATTGGTCAATATACATAATTATTAATACTGGACCGATTCATAACATAATTTCATTATTTTACAATATAATTTGAGAGGTATGTATCTGACTTTGTTTCTAGAACAAGGGAGGATATTGCCGAAAATAACAAATTATTTTTTCAACCAGATAAAGCTCCATCACATTAGGTAGCACCCGTTCGGCAATTTCTAAATGGAAATTCTATAGAATTTCTATAGAGACCATTGGATTTGCCGTAGAGGATTTATTGAGTGGTCTTGAAGTCTACAGTTTATAAAACACAGCCAGGCGTCTTCAAGTTCTGCAATAACGCATAACTGTACAGTGTCACATTACAGTGTCTGCCGATATCTTGCAGAATGTTGGAGATGGCGATGGAGAAACGATGTTATCATCGTATAAAAGTTAATGAAGAACATTTTAAGCAGTTTTTATGATAAATTTATGGTGAGCACTTAAATAATTTTAATAAAAAATTTCATCATTCGGTATTTTTATTAAACGAAGCAAATATAGATTTTAGTTATAGTAAAACAAAAGTCTATTTACAACTTATTGTACACTGTATCAACTGGGGTATAATCTGAGCAAATATACCTTCAAAATAAGGACCTGGACCCCCCTCCACATTGAACTATTACCCCTGATTTGGGGTTAAAGTTGAGGGATTAAAAATATAAAAATATGATACATTTATAAAAATAAATAAATATAATTAAAAATTGACGTGTGCGAGCGTTTTTTGTTTTTTTATACTTGAGAAAACCATGGTGAAAACTTTGCATTGGCACACCCTGTATAAAAAAGGTAAATAAAAATTATTTATTTATCACAATTTAATATAATTTCCAAAACCAGATCTTGCACCAACGACATTTAAAATGGTTTTTATATCTTTTTGCAAAGTTTGCGAATTTGGATTTTTCTACTATAAAATACTCGTACTATCAGGCGTAGTAAAAACGTAGCGTAAAGCGATTGTAGCAAAACAGAACATAAAAAAGGCATGGACGTACATGAAATAGTTCGATTGGTTTCAAGTATTCGAAGTATCCTTTACAACCTGGGTATCAGTTGTGCTTAAGCAAAATGATGCTTTTTTGTCAAGTGGTTAATAATGCGCCGATTGTTTTCGTAATTGCCAATAACTATTGACATTTATTTCTTCTGTGAACAATTTTATCCCTTCCCCTGCATATATTTTCATTCCCTCCCGCTATTCAGGTAAGAAATGCTCCATTTCCTCCCGCTACCATTACAATGATACAGTGTGATTGACTTTAAATGTATATATACATTTAATTATAATTATATAATTTAATTATAATAATAATAATAATATCTTTATTTACGGTTAAACCATTACAATTATATATAAGTTTTTTTGCGGGTAAACAATTTACTATTTTTATGTCTATCGTAGCCTGTGTTTTTATATTGTTTACCGAGCCTGGAAGATGGTAAAAGCCGAAATGCGAGGGTAAAAAAATACACTTTGCGAAAAAAACACTATGCTTTTTTGTCAAGTGATGCTAATTTTAATTTTGAAAACTTGTCAAGCATAATTCGTTTAATTTGATCTTTGTGGTAAAAGGAATGGAAATATCCATGCTTATTCGTTACCAGATAACAGCTGTTGCTTGGGAAGGATTGATATACATGGGGAGGAATATTTTATCTAAATAGGGAGATATGTTGTCTAAGGGGGGAATATATGTCATTAAATATCAACAATCGCGAATACAATCAGCTCATTATTATAACCACTCGGCAGTTATTATAGTACATTATAGACCAGGCGAATAAAACTCATATTATAGTCCAGTATGCATTTCACTGCCGAGTGGCTGGTTTTAGATTTTGATATAAAAAATAGTATTACTCCAAAACTAATGAAGATGTTCGTTGTATCAATTGTTTTTTGATTTTAATAATTAGATAAGACATGAAACAAACTTTTTTTTAAGAAACCAATAATGATGGGTATTTAGTTCACCAGGTATTATGGAAGTTTTTTGCCACTGGGGTAGCTTAGTGGGTACATATAATCCACAGGTCACGGCTTTAAACCTCTACAGCTGGCCAGGATTAAAAAATGTATAATAATTATAAAAATTGGTTGACAGATGTAGAATTTATTAAGGATATCAGGGGCGACTATGATGATTGTGGAATAAGGTAGTTTTAAACCACCCGACTGGTCCAAATCGCAGTAAATAATAAAATCAGCCAATTACTGATGCCTAGCAATTCAAATAATAAGTTTATTAGTCCTGTTGTCAGACGAAGCAGTTATAATGGATACAATTGTATAAGGGAAAACCCCAAATATTGTTAATATTATGCAAAAAGAGTGGAAATAGTTATTTATGTCATAAGGCTGAGAAGTGTAATAAGTTTTTTACATCCTATTTGGTAAATAACTGATGAGAGCTCTAAAGCTATCTAACTTTACCTTATACTTTTATTAGCAATAATTATTTAAAGTATAATGTGAGATTAGATATTATTTAATAATTCTCTAATTCTGTTTTTTTTTCTTAAAATTGTCAAGATTTTATTTACATTTAGGCACTCATATATTTGTATTAAGAAATATTTTAAGACCATTTTTATAAAAAGACAAAACTTAATTTTCTAATCATGTTTTAAATTAAAAAAAATTCAAAAAAACATAATATGGATATTATGTTAACCTTAGTTACCATAGGTAATAACTTTTTAATGTGTGATATACCAGAGTATTTATTATTAAATTTAAACTTAAATTATAATTAGCTCAAAAACTGTTTTAAAACCAATTTATAATTTGTAATTATTCAACAGTACCTAGTTATCCCGGCGCATTCGCCATAATTACAAATATAAACTGTACCCGTTTTTTTTAAATATTAAATATATATATTAAATTTTAAAGTTTTTATATTATTTATTTAAAATTTTACGTTTTCACATTTATTTTAAAGCTACTTAAAGTATAAAATTTCCTTATAAATTGTTTTTAGTATTAAATACGAATATAAATTAAGGTGGAATGACCCTTTAGAAGGTATCTACATACATGACGTCATTGGAGTAATCCCACGTAAGTATCCTGGCGACCTCGTATCGACCATGCGTAAGCGGAATGATCCTCCTCTTCGGTATGTTAACAGAAACCGCATGCCGAAAGTTGCCCGCAGGCCCGTCCCTAACCGGGGCTATGGTGATGTAGTTCGTGCTGTCGGTCCCGAACACGGGACTGTCACCCATGTCGACCCATCCATGGCCGTCGCTGACTATCCGTTGAGTCTGAAACAACAAAAAAACAGGTAATGAGACTTGCACCTGTTGTGTATGATTAAAATGAAAAACTTTATTTATTAATACAACTCCAACAGACATACTGTCCATTTATTGGAGAGGGCATACATTAACATTATATTAATATTCACAAAATAGATTTAAAAGTCCATACACTTTACAGTAGTTTTATATAAAGCAAAATTTACATGAAATATATCAATATGTTTACAGGCTTCATTTCCAGCAAAGCCACTGGGGATGTAGAAAAGTTATTGGTTCTGGATCTCGTTACATAAAAAGTTTGGTCAGCTCTAGTGTTAACTTCACATATCTTAAGTGTTATCATAGATAATAATATGGGGTTGTCTATTTTATTTCTTAATATTTTATAAAGTAAATGCAATATATTAATAACTCTTCGACGCTCCAACGTTACATAATTGTATTTTTCCATTAAACAGTCATAGTTAGTAAATATGTTATATACCCCACTTTCTTTATATTCTATATACTTAAGAAATCTCTTCTGGGATTTCTCAATGCTTTGTATATATACATATACATATACGAGGTGTGTTCAGAAAATAACGAAAATTGTTAAATTTCGCGGGTTCAGAGGTTCCGTTTGTCATAAAAATTTTTTTATTATGTTGGTATACATGCCCCCGAAGTATGATAAAAAGTTTAGCTGATTTCATTGTTTACTTTGTCTGTGGCAGCCGCTAAGGTTAGACGTGTTTTAGGAGCTCGGCGATTTTTCGTTCGTTAAAAGAAATGGATCAAAGAATTTGTATCCAATTTTGCCTTAAAATTAAATAAATTCTGTGAAATGTTAACAAAGGCCTATAGTGAGTCTGCTATAAGTAAAACAAGTTTACAAGTGGTATAAGAGTTTCCAAGATGGCCGTGAAGACGTTGAAGATGACGAACGCACAAGCACATTAACAACCGATAAAAACATGGAAAAAGTGAAAGAAATGGTTATAAACCATCAAAAAAGTCGCTGATGATGTTGGTATATCGATTGGCTCATCCCATGAAATTTTTTCAAATATTTTGGGTATGGAACGCGTGGCAGCAAAATTTGTTCTCCAATTGTTAAATTTTAAACAAATTTTTGGCCAAAAACAATACTGTAATGATGCCCCAGCCTCCATATTCGCCAGACATGCCTCTGTCTGACTTTTTCCTATTCCCAAATAAAGATAACCTTAAAGGGCCGTCGTTTTGCAAGCATAGATGACATTAAAAGCGCATCGCTAAAAGAACTAAAGGCTATCCCTAGATCGAGTTTTAGAAGTGTTTCGAGTATTGGAAGAAGAGCTGGCACAAGTGCATAATATTCAATGGGGACTATTTTGAAGGCGACAACATTAATATAGACGAATAAATAAATATTTGTTTCAAAAAACGAAAATTCCCGATATTTTCTGAACACACCTCGTATATTATAATATGGATGCCAAACAATTGAGCAATACTCCAAGCTTGAGCCTACAATTGAGTTATATAGTAAGTTTATACTTTTTATGACGACAAAATCTTTAGTATTTCGAACTACAAAACCTAACATTTGATGACTTTTAGAAACAATGTTGCTTATATTTATAAGCAACATAATATGTGCTGAGAAAAGCTTAGCTTTCCATCAATTGTAAGTCCATAACTTCACCACCTTTTTTACCATCTCTGTTCCTTCTGTACACTTCGTAATTTGCATTTATAAATTCATTATTTTGTTTAGTTTTGTGTAACCATGTTTCCGTGATACAAATGCTACCAGTTGTCCGTTAATGCATAAAATTAAATTTATTGCAAATGCCGCATATATACTCCGAGTTTTTATTTACTTTTTCTATAAAATTATAATGGCTATAACTCATTTTCCGTAGAAAATTTATTTTTTAAATAATTTAATACTTTTGCATAATATGGATATTTTAAATCACTTGCAGCATAGTTAAAATCAATTGATTTACCAGTTCGCTTTTGGAACTAACAACTCTTCTATGCTAAGCTAAACCTCTGTATATATAATATTAAGGATAACATATAATTTATATTGTTATTGTTAATTTTTTAGACACATATTAGTACCTATACATTTTCTCAGCTCCCGATCCAATACGGGACACCATCTTTACATTATATAAAATTTAAAACATGTGCTCCTGATCAAACATGTCAAAAAGAAAATCCTTAATTTTTTTTAGAAAATGCAATGCTTATACAAAAAAAAATAGGAGATACATATATTCTGATTGAATTTTTGAAATCAGTTACCCTTGGAAACCAATGTTTACTTTAATAACTTGTACAGGTTTATTTTTCATTTAGAAATTAAGAAAAAAAACTGACGCAATTGCGGAAAATTTAAAAATAAAAAAATTTAATTTCTCGGTAATAATCATCGTAGAACCCTTCAAATTAAGATTTGTGTCCTAGCCTATAAATCATTTACAAAAAATTTAAGGATAATCTAGGTTAGTCTGGTGAGCTACACTGTTTGATCTGACATGAAATGACCCTTCTACGTCAGCCAAATGTTAAGCAGGCTACTAGCTACTCTATTAATGGTTAAGTTTGTTAAGTGCACATAAATCTCACACCCACGTAATTCACTTTACTCTAAAAGCATTAAGAATATGTGTAAAGGGACCTGTTGGACTAAAATCAAATAAGGGTTTAGCCTGAATAAAAGAATAGTTTAGTATAAGGATTGCCCTATAAATAGATTTATTTTATTTGTGTGGGATTGAATAGATATACTAATTTTAGATGTTTGGTTTGGACTTTTGAAGTACATTTTATAAAATGTGTTTTTTAAAGTAAGTTGTTATAACTTTCTTATAACAAGTTTATAATAACTTATTTAAAAAAACACAAAACACCATTATACTAGGGTTGTTTTTGAATTTGTATGCTTTCAGGGGCTTAAACGGATTTAAATGGTTAAAAAGTCCTTAAAAATTTAAGCTTTTCATATTAACTCTAAGATTTATTTCTAAAAACCAATAGAAAATTTTAAATTTAGTCATGTGTTTATGTTTTAATGAATCAAAACATTATTATTGTGGGAATAGCCTACTGTACATTATTTTCGAAAAAATAATATAACATCTTTCAAAACCTAACCAAATTTTATAATAATTTAAAAAGTAATCTTTGAAATACCACACGGGAGTTCTACAAAATATTTCTTAAACTTGTTGTCATTAGGCAATAGCCCCTCGAGACAACAAGTTTTCAAAATATCTGTAGAATTATTTATAAATTTATTCTCACTCTCTTATGACATTAATGTTGAACATAAAAAAAATTATTTTATCCGAAATCGGCAGTAAAGTAGAACTTTACTGCCGATTTAAAACGTGTATTGTATGCAATCCATTATACATTTTAAAATGTGTATACTGCTACTCAGCAGCAACTAAATAATATTTAAAAAAAGGCACCGCCGCGGAGGTCGATTGGACCCTTTTATAAAATGTTGTTTAATAAAAATAATAAGTTAATTTTATTAATTAGATTAAAAAATCGCCGCGGCAGTATACGTAGACACTTCCTACATTTAAATGACATTTGATTTGAACATCAATATTAATTATTAATATTATTTAATGTGATTTCAGATAAAATTTAATATGCATCTCGGCATTAAAGTCATTTTTTATCACTCACGTGGTTATTTCCCTCGGCTTTCGCCTCTGCAAATAATTTCCAGATTCGTGATAAAAAATACGACTTTACTGCCTTGATACATAAATAACTATTTAAAACTTTCACTGACGAAGAATGACGCATGAATACGATTTTTTTTGATATTGCAATATTTTGTAATTGTCGACTTTTTTATTAATTTTTTATGGGCTATAAAATTCAAAAGAAGATAATTTTAAAAATCATTATAATATATAAAGAAAAAAGAAAGAAACGCGTGAAGAATTAATAAAATTAATAATTAATTTAATACTTTTTGAAAAAAATAAAGGCTTACTAAAAAATCGTCAGCAGTGAAAGTATTAAAGGGGCTTCATTTTTGGGTTAGCTCCACCTGCCTAATTTTAGCCCTGTTATTGCTTGCTTATTAATCAACCTATTCAATTAAGGTCTAAGTATCTCTCAACTAAATTTACAGATAAGTGAATGGGTAAAATCTTATCAAATATCGATTGATAAATTAACAATATTTGCTTTAAAATTTCTAAAACTGTACAATTTAATTTTATAATAAGTCTTAAAACTTGCGTTAAAATCTAAAAAACCTATTTAGTTAAAACCCTTAAAATTTAATAAAATTTGCTTATTTTTATCAGATAAAAGTTTATTAAACACTTCAGCACTGGAAGAGATTCTCTTAACTTCCATAACATAAATCTCACACTCACCTCATTTGGTTTACCCAAAAAACATTAAAGGAAAGCTTGGGGAAGCACGTGCAAAAATCTATGGAGAGAATTTTATTACACGATAAATCAGACCTTATGTAAAAATCCGAAATTGGAATTTAAGATGTTGTAAATTTTAAAAGATAATAATTATTTGCAATTATTGAAAGAGAACCAAAATACTTATTTTATTAAATTACAAATACCACAAATCTTATCTTATTTGTATTCTCCGTTTTCCAGGGCCCTTATTTTATTGAAAGTAAGAATTTTTTTAACGTCGACAATAAAACCCTTAACCCTTAAAAACTTGCTAAAATTAGCCCAATACCAAAAATATCGTGCTTTAAAATTTATCACACTATAGTATACTTTTATAATTTTATTTTTCTCGCCTTGAGCTGCGCAAAATCGTCTATAATGTCTTTAAGGTCTATATTATTTACCAAATAGGTTTCATTGGATGTACTTTCTTGTCCCATTGTTGACCGCAGGTGATTTTCTATTAGCGCTAACTTTGAAAAACATCGTTCTGCCTTACAGTTTGCAATTGGCATTGAAGGAAACATCCGGTAAGCATGCAATAGATACGTTCGGGAACACTTCGCTCAATTTACT